TTACTTACTCACGCGGCAAAGTCAAGAGCCACAGCTTGTCAAGCAGTTGTCCCTTTCCAAAGACCGCGCATTCAGCATCGGACTTGAGCCGCGCGAACCTCAGAGGATCGGAGGGACGCCAACGCTTTGGCGTGCGGTGCGAAGCATTGACGAACAGCGATTGCATCGATGATGAAGCGACGCTCATCTTTTTTTCCACATGTCCTTCAAGCTCCTCTGTTTGGGGTCGGGTTCGCCCAAACGACCGCGGCCCGCCCGAGTGGTCCGCGCCTGTTCATGGAGGTGTGACGTATCGTTGGTCCTCTGCAGTACCAACTTGCATCTTTTGGCTTGCTCAGACAACGCAGCAGGTATTGATGTTGAAGTCGAGGTCGTAGCAGGCATCAGAGGATCTTCGTCACGGCCTACCAAGCCTGGAATGATTTCGTGACGGACGAGCGTGTACAGGGCCGTGTTGTCCGCAAAAGGTACGGACATTTGGTTGCCTGCTGGCATGCACAATTTGAAAAAGCTGGAAATGAAGAGACCGTGGGTGACTATTACGAGATGTCGTCGTGGCAATGCTGCAAGGTCTGGAAAAGGCTGGCTGATAGAGGCGATGCTGGGCTTTGGGAGCGCGGCTGCCTTTGCACTGGAGGAGGCGTGCAAAGGCAGAGGCTGCCAGGCGCTGATGGGCTTGGATTCTATGCAGGATTCCTCTTGCTTCTGGTCTATTTGCTTTCCCGTGCAATTTTTGCTGCTGCTCTTTACAAAAGCTTGCGGCGCAGACAGAGCATAGCTCGTTCTTGACTCAACTCGACCGATAGTCGCTCCGTCATTCTTGGCCTTTTTGCTTTCGTTGCCCTCATTCTCCCTGCCCAGCGTCCTTTTACCGGTGGTGTTGCTCTCCGTGTGGCGCAGCTCCGCCCTGCTCATCAGCCATTTCCCTTCCATCTGCACCCTGCGCATCCATGCGTCGTTGGACTCTCCTCGTCCAATGCCTTTTGGAAAGCCGGTCTGGTGAAAGCCTCTCCGAGTGCATTCTCTGAAGCCAAAATCCCTTTCCTGCAGCGCGCTTCGAGCGCTTATGCTCAACCTTTCACCGCAAGCAGCAGCATTAGCAGGCTCGGTAGAAGTAAGGATGTGTCTACGCATCGCTTCGTGCGCGACCTGAGCTGTCCTGCTCGTTCGACCGAGCGGAGAGTGATAAATTTCCACGCAATCCCCGCGGAGCAAGGCTTCGTGCAGCTGCTTCCAGAGGCTGCAGTCGCCAAGGCATTCCAGTTGAGATTCTCCAAGTGGAGACAATGGAGAGTCTGTGCTTCCTTGAAGCACGTGCGCCACATTCGCAATCGTTTGCGCGTGACGTATCAGCGTCAGCGTTCCACCAACGCCCAGAGGAGACGTGTTTGCGGCTGCGGTCGCCATAATGACACCACGCAATGAGCGATGCGTTCCCTGCCCCCCTCTCCTCGCTCCCCTTGGTAGCCTAGGATGCTTGCACGAAGTCAAGTCGCGCTTATCAAACCTGTATAGGCAGCTCGCTACTCAGACTCTTCCTTCATCTTTCGTGCTCTCCACAAATGCACCGAACTCATCACCTGCTCAGACCAATTCGTGAAACACTGCCTGCGGTGAGCCGGCCCGAAGATGTCGTAGTGCTTGTGGCTTATAAGCGGATTGACTCAGCACTGGACTCTTGACTCCAGCGTGCTTGCCTACAGACTGATCGTGTTGAAGGTTGTGTTGTTGCATGAATCAGCTGATGATGGTGGCATGCGAGCATGTTCGGATCATAATCAAGTGGTTACAAGTCAATTTATGAAGATCAGCAAGTACTTGAGTCAAAAGTCCGATTGAGGAGTCGGAGTGTAAATCAAGAAGAACTTCGAATTTGTGATTAATTGACGATTTGAATTCCAGAATCTTGAATTTGGCATTCAACCACTCACGGCTGACCACGTGACTTTCCAGAATTTGATTTTCTTCTCGCGGCGATCGCGGCAGCATGACACAGACCTACATACATGCATCATCAGCCATCGCGCGTGCTGCTGGTGATGTGCCAGAGAGGTTTTGCTGTGCGCAGCCACACGACGCGTGAAGCCTTGGCGCTGTGGCTGCGCCCGAGCAGAAACCCGGGCATCGATCGCGCATCAATAACAGCATGCAGCGGCCAGCCATCGCTGCTGCTCGATCGGAATTCCGCGTGTGTGCGTGTCGAGGCGTGTGTTCTCTCTTCGCGCGCGCGTCGCCCCCTCGCTTTAATTATAGGCGCCGCAGCTCGATCGAGAGACATTCACATTCAAGATTCTTGACTCAAACCTCGTCGATCACTCCCAGCTCGTTCTGAGACTCGTTAGACTGCAAAGATCTACCCGCGGTGTATCACATCGCCCAGCAACACCTCTGGTCGATCGTGCGTCGCAACCCTCGCACACAACTCATGTTTATAGATTAGCAGGTGCTGCACAGGAAAGCCGGACCAGGCTTGTATTCTGCATCGGCACCTCGAGCGTCAGTGCCTACCTTCACGATTCGCATTCTCAGTCAAAAGTCGACATCATCATCGTCTGCTTGGTACTGCGATCCAAGACCGTCGGCCAAACAATCATCGATTGCGCATACATACCTTCGCATCACTATTGCAACAGTCTCGAGTCGGTGCTCTCAGTCCCGTCTCGGCGCAAAAGAAAAAAAAGTCCCCAAGGGCACACTCTTATCTCGCCACACCTCCCTCCAAATTTTTGCCCGCCATTCCTCCTCAACAAACCCTCGACTTTCGTTTCGGCGCCGTCCAGGCTTTCCTCTCGGTAGACTCTTTGTGAGTGGCGGTCTAGCCGGGCTGATGCGTTGGTCAGAAGTGTGCGAGCGCGCGATGAATCGAGTGGGTGAAGTAGATGAGATGGCGCAGCAGCGAAGGGAGCGCTGAACACATGCGATCAGCAGGGCTCGCAATGAACAGGTCACAAATGGGCCATTGAGTCCGCGCAGCTGTTGCTGTCTGGCAAGTTGTGAGAGGACAAGGGAGGGCCGTGGTCTTCGCAAGCAATGGGGAGCTTGCATTCTGGTCGGATAGATGATGATGTTGCATCTCGACGCACCTCTTTCCCGAGAACGTGGCCTCATTCGCACTAAACTGCGACATCTAGTCTTTCTCGTTTCTCTGCAAGCGCTCATCTCAATGCTGACGTTGAATGGTCCTTCTGTCTTGTACCCGGCAGGCCCGGCTAATCAGATCGGTCGTCGCGTTCCGCAGATACGCATTCCATCAAACACCTTTGCAGCGCTCAGCATCAGGCCGCCGTGCGTCCCAACTGACGCTGGCGACCCATTCGCACCGGCTCGCGCTCTGCCTTGCTCTTTCTTAGCTCGTCATCTTTCTCGTGAGTAGTGTCAAGGACTGCCATAGGGCGGGGATTTGTGGGACCAAGCACGAATTGCGGCCGTTTGGTGCGAGGCTGCCCTGGCTCGGGCATCGTAGATGCGCTCCATGACCGGAGTGATGTGCTAAGAGGTGCACTTCCAAGTTTCATCTCGATGATGTGCTTTTGGTGAGCGCAGCAAGGTGCCGTTTCAGCGTTGGTGCAAGGTCTTTATTACATGTGGCCAATCTACGCAAGGCATTGTGCCGCGAAGATTGGAGCACATCGCTACTTGACGCACAAACGTCATGTCCCCACACTCTGCACTTGCAACGACGTCTCCAGCTTCGTAAAGCGTCTGCCGGCCGCCGTGCCGCGGATATAACAGTCATACCTCGCCATGGAGCGCGGCCCACGCCTGCGAACCGGCGTATCTGATAGATCCAAGAGGATACCCCTCATCAGCGCGTATTGATGCCGCCGAGTGGTCACGACGAATGGAGTAGATCACCCCTTTATGGAAATGGAGGAAGAGAATCCGGCGCAAAGCATCCAGGGGTTCATGGGTCGGCCAATTTATGTACGCGGCGGTGATGAGGGTATCCGCTGGAGGGGCAGGATGGTGGGCGTTATGTCACCTGGCCGTCACCCCGGGTCTTCGGCTTCCATAGTTCTCATTTGCGCACGAAAGTCGAGCAAGTCTCACTGAGGATGCCGAACTTCGGCGCTTCGCTCCTCGGAGCAAAGCCATCAATCATTGCCTCTCCATTCTGCGAGAGGTTTTGGGCTTTAGACACCGCAATTTCAGATCTCAAGGGCCACACGCCTGTGGCTGCTGATCCGGAGTCGCCGCTGCAGAGGGGTGAGGGCGCGCTTCCCTGTCAGCAGAAGTTTCTTCGCGCCAGCTGCTGCCATATGCGAGATCTTGCAGATTCGTGATTGCATTTCGCCGGCTAGCTGCAACGCATGTCACAGCGTAATTAAGCAGCAGCCAGCAGCAGCCACGCACGCGCGC